GCGCGCGGAAGTTGGCGAAGAGATTGGCGACGAGTTGGCAAGGCGGAAGTGGACGTGGAAGTTGATGCAGACATGGTCGAGGAGAAACTGGAGGAGGAGGAAGAGGAGGAGGCGGAGGAGGAGGCGGAGAAGGAGGAGGACAGTTCTGATAAAATCTAACAACCCTCACCTGGCAGGTGGGGAATCATTAAAAACACCGGGTCCGCTATCAGCGCCGGTACCTTGTTTGAATCCTTAGTTCTGGTTTTTCAGCCGTTGAAATTGTTATTTGTATTTGGCCCATTTGCAGACCCCACAAGTGAGCAAATAAATGCCTTGAAAAAGTGATGCTTGGCAACGTTAAATTGTTTCTGGATGCACTTTGTTTTTGTTTAGTTCCATGAAACTACATGGCAAGATATTGGAAAAATGAGTTGGCTAAAAAACAAAAGGAAAGAAAGGACAATAAAAAAGTGAAGAAAAGTGAAAATAAGTGAAGAAACATGCTTTTCTTCACTTTTCTTCACTTTGCTTCACTTTGTTTCACTTCGCTTTACTTTTACTATTTTCCCCATTGATCTTATTTGTTCATGTGATTCCAGGCATTATGGTTGATTTTTTTGGGTTTGCTTTTCGTTTTAAGATAAGTTTGGTACATATGTTTTGCGCATAGACAGAATTCTGCAGTCTTGTTTAAAATTAGCTCTTTAAGAAAATATACCAAGCGTATTTGTCCGATTTGTATTTTTATATTTGAATTATATTGCTAACCATTTGGACTCTATTTTTCAATCTGTTGATATATTTTGGTATAGGTGTATTCTATAAACTTGTTTCCCAAGAAAAAACTATGTTTGTTTGGAGGGGAAGTCTATTAGATATGGGAAGCCATTTTCAAGGCACCTTCACTGCAGCCATTCTGGTTCAATTTGCTTTGTTGTGTTTTAATCTGTGAAAACAAATATGAAAAGGCCAGCTAGGAAGGCCTCTGGCCTTGCCAAGGTCAGGAAGGCAGCAGCCTTGAAAAAGGGCAAGAACAATGAACACCAAAGCAACTTGAAAACGTTGAAGCCCTTGAAAAAGGGCAAAGGGAAACCATTTGAGCATCAAGGAGAAGGTGGCTAAAGTTGCCAAGGAGCATTCAAATGAAGAGGAAGCTGCTCTGGCCCTCCAAGGCTCAATGTCTTTGGTGGAAAGAGCAATGCCTATAACCAACAGAAAGCCTTGAAAAAGAAGGGCAATGAAGCCTTGAAAAAGGAGTATGAGGCGATGGGTAAGAAAGAAAAAGGCTTGGCCAACATAGTCTTCGTGATGAAGAAAAGCCAGGCTTCCTTTTGCCAAGTCACCAAGGGTGCCTCCACTGAAAGCTCCTTGAAAAAGAAAGAGAATTGGCTGACACAGAAAGAGGTGGATGCCAAGTGGACAGAGCAAGAGCAACACATGCATCTGGAAAGTGGACGACTGGTCGCCAGCGAATGCCCCAGTACTTGGGGCTGCTGGGAGTCTATGGATACTTCTGATGTGGTGAAAGCACATGTGGGCAGGCATGCACAGTCTTGCCACCTTGGCCAAGAATATGCCAATGGAGGAAGAAGATGAGGATGAGTGGCAGAAAGCCTTGGATAAGGACCTGCACTCCCTCATGCTGTGTAGCCTTGGAAAAGGCAAAGCAAGGGCCTTGAAAAAGGCAGAGGCAAGGGCAAGGGCAAGGCCGAAGGCAAAAAAGGAAATTTGGCAGCCTTGACCAGTGGTGAGGGTGAGGAGGAGGAGGAGGATGAGGAAGACGGTGATGCACCCTTGTCTTTGGAAGAAGGCTTGAAAAAGCTGAAAGCAGCCAAGGAGATGCCCACCAGGACCCACAGCAACTTTGAAGCCTTGAAAAAGGTGAAGAAGAGCCCTTGAGCAAGGCAGGCTTGAAGGACAAGCAGGCCATGCTTGAGCAGTTGGCAAAGATGCTGAAAAGCACCAAGTCACTCCTTGAGAAAGGAAAGAAGGCTAAGCCACAAGTCTTGAAAAAGCACTTGCTGGTAGTTGTGGCTTGCACCAAAGATGCAAAGGATGAGGCCAAAGAGCTGGTCCAGTTTAGCCACAAGGCCAACAGCAAAGCAGGCAGCAAGACACCCAGCAAGCCCAGCAAAAAGTAAACAACCCTGAAAAAGGTTGGAGCATGGCTTGGCTGGGCATCCTTCATGGAAGGCCTTGTGGTTTTGGAAAATACATATATAGCTGTGCTCCTTGAACAAGGTTGACATCAGCTCTTGTGTGTACAGTTGGCAGCAACAGCCTGCCAGGACAAAGCACAGAAACATGCAAAAAAAAAAGGTCTGCTGCTGCTGCTGCTGCTAGTGCTGCTACCAGTGTTGCTGCTTAACAGCATGTTGCACCACAATTTGGAGCAGTGTATGCATTGGCATTCTGCAGCTTGTGGCTTGAAAGTGTTTTTAGAGACCATAACTAGGTATACAGATACAGAGGCTTTCCTGGTGACCAACCTTGAAAAAGGATTTCCTTGCCATTGCAGAAAGGATTCCCTCTAAAACGGTATTTCCTTGAAAAAGTGTCTTTCTTGAAAAAAGGACCCCTTCTAAAAGGGTAGCGTTCCAAGGTAGGGCCAGGTAGGGTTTGAAAAAGCAATTGCTAAAAGGCTCAGGGTTTGGCAGCTTGAACAAGAGCTGGGAATTCTGGATGAGCCCTTTAAAAAATGTGACAGCACTGCCTTGGCAACAGCATTGCTGACCCTTTGGTGCCATGGCAAGCTGCCAGGAACCACCATCAGGTGGCTGGCAGAATGTGTTACCTTGGATGGGGCAGAGCACCATGAGCTGGTTGCAATTGCCAAGTGTGGCTCCCATGGGGTGAACCCAGGCAATGTCCACAGGGACTTGATGGCAAACTTTTGCAAAGGCATTGGCTTGCCTACTGGCTTCCCAATTGCAGTGCCATGCAAGCATCCCAAAACCTTGAAAAAGGATGTGGAAACTGCCCAAGTTTTCTTCCCCCATATCATGTTTTCAAAGCTAGCTACTAACAGCAGCTTTGATAAACTCTTCCCTTTGGACTGCTTGGAGAGCTTTTGGGCCCAAGCTGAAAAGACTGATGATGACAGGCTCATCAACCACCCCTTGAAAAAGGGAAAGTCTTGGAAGAAGTGCTGTCTACCACTCTTTGTCCATGGGGGTGGTGTAGAGTTTCAATCCAGAGACACATCATGGTTTACAGCTGGGGGCCACCCCTGAGCCAGAAGAATTCATTGTGCAGTCACATGTACATTGCTGGCTTCCCCAAGAGCTGCGCCTTGGATGATCCCTGGGTCACTATGTGGGAGTGGATATCATGGAGCTTTGCAGCCTTGCAAAACGGATACCACCCCACCCATGACCCCAAAGGGAAGGCATTGAAAGAGGATTCCCCATTCTTCCTTGAAAAAGGGTAACCCTCAGCAAAAGGTTGCAGGGGTGTCTTGTGGAGCATCCAAGGGGTTCAGGAGTTTTTCTCAAATGCAAAAAACCATGCTGGGAATGCAATGCTTCAAAAGATGCAGCCCCAGCCAACCTGTGGTACAAAACCCTTGAAAAAGGGAAGCAGGGCTTCAAAAAGGTTTCCAATGAGGAGGCCACGAAGAACCCCGGAAGTGGCCACAGCCTCTTCAGTGGCATGATCCCTGGCTTGGCCCAAAGATGGTCAGGGGAGATTGTCTTCACATATTGTTCTGCAAAGGGGTGCTGGGGCACCTTCTGGGTGGTATCATACATTATCTCTGCTGGCATGATGGTGTTGGTGTGGTCCAATCAGTGGCCCCTGACAAAAGGTTGGGTGCACCGTTCCAAGCCTTGGAGTATCAGAGGCAAGGCACAACCAGGGTCACTAACCTGCGAATGAGCATGATTTGTGATGCCCGTCCCCTCGAATCATTTGCCAATCTGGACCTGAGGGCTTCTGAAACAATGCATTTCTTGGATGCATTTCTTCTGTTTGCAAGGAGCTCTTGGACCCTACCAGCCCCCATGAAAATGCCATGCTCCAGGCCACACAATGCATGTCTGACATTGTCGCCATCTTTGATGATGCTTCAGCGTTTTTGACTGAGGCTCAGTGGAAGGCAGCAATGTCCCTTGAAAAAGGGTTCTCAGACAATTATGAGTTTCTATCAACTTAGGCCCTTGAAGAAGGGAGGACCTTGTTCAATAAGGTCATTAAACATCACACAATGCAGCATTTACATCCAAAATTCTTGAACCCCAGGGTACGTTGGACCTTTGCCAGTGAAGACTTTGTTGGGAAAATACCAATTCTGACTGCAAGCGTGAGTCCTTGTGTTTCATCCATCAGACTCAATGCCAAGGTAGCCCCCAAGTACAGAATCCTACTGCATTTCCTGTTTACAAGAGAGGGGATGCAGGAAGCAGCCACAAATGTGGAGAAAGGTCAGGGGTAGGTGAAGGGGCATACCTTGAACAAGGTACTACCTTGCATTTGAAACTGGACATGGCATGGCATCTGGAAAAAAATGCAAGGCACCGTGAAAAAGATGCACTATTTCCAAAAACATTGAAAAGGAATTAATGCAAAGGATTGTACAGAGAGAAATTGCAAAAGGCAATGCCACTTGAAAAAGGGAAGCTTCTTGGCAAAGACCAAGACTGATCTGACTTGAGATGCAGGAAGCAAAAAGGTGTGTGCTGGTCTGTAACTTTTGATTTTGGGCTGGAAAAGGGTTGGTTTTCAGATTGATTTTTGCCTTCAAATTTGTAGCCTTTCAGATTGATTCCTGAATCAAATCAATCTCAAAAAAGTGATTTCAGACCCAAATCAATCTTGATAAAAGACTATTGATTGGAATCAATATTCGATGCTCAGGGTAATTCCCCTGTCGTCACCATGTCGGTACTATGTCGCCATCACGTCGTTTCCATGCCCATGTGCCATGTCAAGACCATGTCGTCACTTTAGTGCCGTTTATTTCTAGTTGCAGCTTCCTTTTTACTGACAGACGGAACATGCCAACTTGTTCAATGTGCCCCATGGCCATGGTTTTTTTGCACCTCGGACACTGCCGAGGAAAAGGAGATCACAAAGTGACTGTTCACGTGGGACCCACTCCGGGGTCCCTTGCCGTGGGACCAGGCCAACGAAACCCATCATATAATGGACCAAGGGTAATGATCAGCCCGGGCCAAGAAAACCCTTATTGTTAATCTGTTCAATAGCACATTTTCATGTTTTGGGAAATGGTGCGTTGAGCCCTATCAGGCTTCACTTTGAACCACTGGGGTGAACCACATGGCGCCGCTTGAGTCCATAATTCGTTGATGTCCTTGTGCGAGTTGTTCAAAATTCCTCCGATCAGTTCATGTGGAGTCGAGGACCTTTCTGTTCCAGTATTCCCAATCACCATCGGGTCGATACTCCACTGTAGCTCCCCGGTTTGTTGCCCAAATCCATGTTGCACCTTGTTCAACCACATTCATATCGAACATATTTACCATTTTGTTTAGCTTTAGGAACATGGAACAAGCACCCTATGACTATTTTTTGCACAGTATATATGTATTTTTCTATATATATATATATAAATACCTTGGAACTCAAAAACTTGCAAAAACGTAGGAATGACAAAACACGTGCTTTCTTCGCAAAACCCGATGTTTTGAAATTTGCAGTTTTGATGGTGAAGAGAGAAATCAATAGAATCATCCTATTCCAGCATATTCCGGCATTCTTGGCAACAACCCCCCAACAAACATGTGGTTGGGAAACTCTTGGTGTCTCCTCAGCTTCCTCTTAACCACTGGATAGCATGGATAGCCAACATCACCCACCAATAATTCCGATGCCGATGTTTATTTTCATATTATGATCGAATATTTTGAAATACTGGATCAAAAATGGCAAAGGTGGGATCCCTCTGAGCCGGAACAAATAGTACGGGTTAGCACGGGTAAAGTATGGGTTTAGCATGGGTTCAAAATAAACCCGAACTTTTCTCAGTGGGTTGCTTAAAATTTCAATCCAAGTCCCATACCAACCCTTCAATGAGATCGGTATTTTGGGGCGTACAACCATTACCACGCTTCAAGCAGTTTTTCCTAAGGACTTATAACACAAAAGAAACGCCAAACGATGATCATATCAATCATATCATGCGACTATGGTATGACTATGATTTGATTGGTTGATTTGTGTACGTTGTCTGCTTAAATGATGCCAAATCATGTGAAAACAACGTTTACAGAGCCATCCTGGGAAAACACGATGTTTTTCCTGGAAACACAATGTTTTCGCAGTGCGCCCCGGAAAGCACGAGATTTTCATATTTATCCTGCAAAAAGTTAGGCTTTCGTTGTTTTAGGTATTTATATACACACATGCACTGTATGTGTTGTTTGGCTATTTGTTCTCAAATTGTACCATGTAACAACAACATCCCAAGTCAGGCTGCACCCCATGTGGGACCCAGGTACGAGTCCGCCGGCCGCCATGACGCCTACACGGGCAACGGCTGGGGCAAAGGCGCCGCATGGCACCTGGAAGCGCAAGAGGCAGGGCGCGGGGGATGGCAGCGGGGAGACGGCGGAGAGATGGAGACTTGACGTTTTTGGGGACTCAACCAAAGTCCTTAGAATAACTCGGGATATTCCACGATTTAATCCAATCCAATCCAATTTGATCCAATCTAAATCTCATCCATCCATCCATGTGGGGTCACGTTTTTTACTGTTTGAAAAAACACGTCACTGGTATCTGAAGGAGTTCCATATATTTCCATTACCGTTGTGCTGGTAGGTTTTACTGCTACTTATTTTCAAAGATGGCTGTTACCCACTTACCACGAAAGGTGATGCCCGAAAAGAATGTTTGTGTTTATGCAGAGTGCATGCGTAGTTTGGGTTTATGGATAGCGCATATAAACCACCAGCAACCACAACAATAAACGCAACATTTTCAGGTGCTGACCTAGGGGGATGCAAGTCTGGATGGATTCCGGGGGGGTTTCTTCGAACCTGAAAAGGTGAATTTGGCCACTTAGAGGCTCTTAGAAGCAGAGGGAACCTAAGAAACCAAACAACTTATATATCTTCTAAGAAGGCCTCTACTTCTAAGTAGCTGCTTCCAAGAAGCAACACCCTTCTAAGAAGCCCATGCATTTTCTAAGCGTTTCCGCGAAGCAAAAAAGAAACCTCCATCCCACGTTCCCACCAGAACGCGTCCCCTTAGATTGAGAACTCAATTTTAAACAAATTATTATTTTGGGGGTCGGTGAAATGAGGGGCTGGTCGAATGCCCATGGTTGCCCATTGTATAGAGGAACCGAAGCGCTATGTCCAACATGATGATATGTGAAACAGCAATCAAAACAATAACTTTCGTGGTTCATGGAAGTCAGCACGGCAAGAGAGATGATAGAGAGATAATAGCATATAATATAGTAGTAGTAGTAGTAGTAGTAGTAGCAGCAATGACCCTAGTGTGTCGCAATAGGGACTTAACCCACCAAGGATAATTACATGCGAGTCAACAACCAACCAGATATGGGAGAATGTGGTAGAGCCAATGCCACAAGAGTTCGTTTTTGGTTGTCGTTAGTGTCACCTGGTTTGGGTGAATTGGGGATGGTTTTCCCTTGGTTTTGCAATATTGCTACAACAGAAAGCAACAATGACTTTCACATTGTAGGAATAGTACTTACCTATTGTTTAAAAACATCAATATCATTTTTCAAAATGAACCAAGAGACACGGTGAATAAAACTTAAAACAGCGGCAAAAACTAGATTGAACCACATTCAAACTGCATCACCAAAGTGGCATGGTTTGAAACATGAAACAGCACCATACAATCAGCTGGCCCACCCGCGTCAAGTGAAACATGAAATTTTGATGGTGGATTGGTATCCACCCGTTTTAACGGGAATCCTATCATAGAGGGTATATCACATTTTTGTGAACTATATTATCTAATTATTCTAAACCCATATGAAAATGGATCGATGACCATCCAACAATTTTTTCAAAACAACCAGTCGATTTGTGGTCCTGGCGGCCCATTGGCATCCCCTTCTATTTGTTAAGTTAACACATGCTTTTCACAGCACATCAAACCAGGACAATAATGATATTGCGATTTTTGCTCAGCAGGCATTCACTTTCCAAGTGTTTCGGAAACGGTTGGAGTGGGAGCACTGAACTAAACCGCAGTGGCAAGCTGGGAATGGGTTTGATATGGTTTGATGGACTTACGCCCCAAACGGTGTTCGTGTTCCACAATGTTTCGAAACTTTGGCACGTTTTGGAAAGCTGGAACCTTCGGAAAAACATGCGACACATTTACTAACTGATTTCTGGTTGGTGGTTTGAAAGAGTTTTTACATCGGAAACGCTGCGGGTTTCATGATGATGCCCATTGACCAGCTCATGTTTTTCAGAGTGGTGACTGAACTACTTCGTAGATTTCAAGTCAATCGTTTTCCCACTGTGGGGCGCAGTTGGATATGTAACCACAGTTATAGGTTATAGGGGTCATATCACAACTTTTGGCGTTAATTACCACGGTTATACATGTCAATTACCTCAACTGCAGCCCCATTCCACTGATGTGAAACCCAGTCCGCACATTCAGCTTGTCGGCTGGGTCATGGCTCAGATACCGGCAGACTACCAACTTTATCATTTCAAGTCAGGCGCCGGTCGCTGTCAGGGTGGCAATGGAGCGTGAATGAGGTTGCAGTGATGAAAATGATCTAACGAAAGAAGGAGGGCCAGCCAGCTCACACGTTGTTTTGAACATATTGATGTATTTTGGATGACTGACCAGCCGGATGTTTGCATGGAATGATTCCCCGACGGCTTCAATTCAATCTTATGGATGTTTGGGCTGAAGATTGGAACTGGGAAGAACTTTCCGTTCTGCTGGATCTCGAACTACACTTAGTTTGCTTCCCGGAATGCATGCCCTTCAGCTGGCTTTCCTAATTACTGGAGACCCTAGACATATGAAAAGCAGTGGTTTGGTATGCCCTAGGAACTTTCAACAACGAGATCATGGATTGGAGACACAAAGGAAAATAGATCAATAGAAAGAGATATTAATATATATATATATATAGACAGATTCAGTTAAATAGATAGATAGACCGATAGATGGATAGATAGATAGATAGATAGATAGATAGATAGGTAGATAAACTGATCGAAATACATATGGATAAGATACATAGACAGATGGGTAGGTAGATAGTTAGATAGATAGATAGATAGACAGGCAGACAGACATACAGACAGACAGACAGATAGATAGATAGATAAGGAGGCATAGAAAGCAGATAGATGGGATAGGATATAAGATACGATAGGATAGGGTAGATTAGATAAATAGGATAGACAGGTTAGACAGAATAGATAGGATAGAGATGATAGACATGATTGATATGATAGATATGGTAGATGTGATAGGTATAATAGGTATGAAAGACATGACAAATTTGATGGGTATGACGTAGATTTGATAGATAGGTGAAAAAGACAAGATACGAACATAAAAGGTAAGATAGATAGTGATAGATAGATTAGTTCAGATTAGAGTAGATGGGATTGGATTGGATTCGATTAGGATAGATAGATAGATAGATAGATAGATAGATAGATAGATACTGTAGATAGATAGATAGATAGATAGATAGATAGATAGATAGATAGATAGGTAGGTAGATAGATAGATAGATAGACAGGATATATAGGATAGATAGATATATAGGAAAGGTAGGACAGATAGATAGGATGGAAATGATAGGTATGAAAGATCAGATAGACAAGATAGATAGGATGGACATGATAGGTATGATAGGTATGATAGGTATGATAGATATGAGAGATATGATGGGTGTGATAGATATGATAGACATGATAGATATGATAGATATGATAGATATGATAGATATGATAGATAGATAGATAGATAGATTAGATTAGATTGGATTGGATTGGATTGGATTGGATTGATAGATAGATAGATCGATAGATCGATAGATAGATCGATAGATCGATAGATCCATCGATAGATCGATAGATCGATAGATAAGTAGATAAGTAGATAGATAGGTAGATAGATAGATAGATGGATAGATAGATGGACAGACAGATCTTTTGATCGATAGATAGGTAGATATATATATATAGAGATATAGATATATAGATAGATAGAGCAGACAGAGAGGTAGGGTAGGGAAGGGAAGGGTAGGGAAGGGTAGGGTAGGGTATAGGGTGGGGTAGGGAGGTAGATAGATAGATAAATCAGATGTTTGTTTAGATTGAATGGACAGATAGGCATACCGGTTGCGAAAAGCAAGGTGGGGATTTAACCAACAGAAACGGATATTTAACCGATAAACATCGGGGTTAGTCATGGAAGATGCCGAAAATACACGTTTTTCACTGATGCCACGATATTTTTCAAAGATTATATATATATATATATATGTGTGTTATAAGATTTGGTTTTGCGTTTTCAATTTCCCGGTGTCCAACCTTTTGATCCATTCAGGGGTTGCCAAACTCACACAGTTTAGATCAACTTTGGCACGACATCTTCGTCTCTGTGGGCCCAAGGTGCTGGGGCGGATGGTCGAAGCTCTGGAGTTGCAGCTTGGTCGGAGGGTATTCACCACGGTACCGTCATGCTCTTCTCCATGGTGAATGGTAGGTGACTATTTCGGATATTTCTATACTCATTGCATTACCAGGCTGGGTAGGCCTAAAAACGATTTAGGTTGAACGTGCCAGTTTTGTGCTATGAATTGTGTTTTTTTACATGCAACTATACATGTTTTGGAAGGTATCTTATGTTTAGCGACGTCGGATTTACATGCCTTTACATATTCGTTCATTCAACATACCATCGTTGAAATCTAAATTCCCTGATGTCCGGTTGTAGTCCCACGTGTTGATGATTCCTAACTCCCAAAAGAAAACGGGATCACAAATGATTTAAAATATTCGAATTTGTCTGAAATGGTGTACCCATTCCGTCCACTGATTCATCATCATTTTCCTTATAATATAATATATATATAATAGACTAAAATGATCTCAAAAGCTTATGAAGTGGGGGTATATTGAGATATACCCATGTATACCCCCATGTTCAGACATCCCCATATATTAAATCATATTAAATCCCAATATCCTCATCAATTGTTCAATATTTTTGTTAAAACTTCCACCCCGTCGTCGTTGTCGTTGTCGTCGTCTTCTTCTTCTTCTTCGCCGTCTTCGCTGAGGTCAACGGCCGCACTTTGAAGTTCAAAAAACTCTACAAGGACCTATTGCTGATGGATGTGTTGAGGATGTTGAACTGTTACTTTTTTTGACACACACCGACATATATATATTTATATATATTAGATATATATATATATATATTTATTTAATTAGATGCACACATATATATAAATATATATATATATGATATAACTTGTATATGTACATATACGTAGGATTTATTGGTGGATTATTAAATATCCGTAAGATATTGTAGGATGTTACTATCAAGTGGAGGACGTTGGCAAATATAGGATTATGGATTGGAAGCATCAACAACCTCAGTCACGAGCTTTTTTCCCTTTTGGATGTGACAGTGAGGGTTGTTTGACAGTTTGTTCTTCGTTTTTGTGAGGATTGGTGGAAAATTGGGCGGTTGAAACCCTGTCTATCAGTGGAGAAATCCAGGGTTTCAACTTTTTCCAACTTGTTGAGTCTGTTGAGTGTTTCCCTTTCTCACCCTACTGCTCCGCGATGATCCGATGTCCGCCTCCAGTTTGTAAGTATTTTTGTGTGGATTGCATGGTGAGATCTCCGAGAGGATGCCGAGACAGATCTCTCTCGCGCAAGCTGAGTGGAAAGGTCAGAAGTTTCAACGAAAAAACATCAAACAATTTTTGGCTCGCTTTTTCTGGCAAAGTTTCAGCGGTTTGGTTTACCGCTGGTTCTGTTTACTCGCAACACTTGGGCCCCCGTTCCTCCATTCATCGATGCAGGACAGTCGCTTACGGCTCTTTTACTCCGACAATCTTCGACTCATGGTTCCGCATTTTTTAATACTTTTGTTTGCGCATGTTTTTTGATCCACACACATGGCTGGCTCAATTTTCTGGTACATTAATGCAAAAAAAAACTAAATTATCTAATTGTTTTGAAACCAGTACGCAGTAGTATTGCAATTAGTGCTTGATATTTAATGAATAACGTATGATTTCCATATAGCATGGTTGTCACTTCGAACAACAAAAAGTGTCCATTTCAGAACATCCGATCGAAACTAACTGCCGTCTTCATGGCATGCAAATTTATGACATTTGTTGGTACAACAAGTTTAAAGGTAGCCTTACATGTTCTTGGCTTCGATGCCTTGCGCGTGTTTAGGATCTGCGCATCAAGTATGTGTGCAAATGCAATTGCCGCCCCACCCCACGGCAACATCAATGTGACCACCCAAGCAATAAAAGACAGAGGGTTTCTATGCGCATGCATTGTTTTTTTCGAATTAAAAAATATCCGAAAGTCAATCATCGGATGGTTACGATTATCTCTCCCACTTTTGGGGCAAAAAAATGCTTTTGGGTCTATATAGCCTCCGGTAATTTGTGCTATGGCTATTGGTAGCAATTTTCACATGGAATTTCAGAGATGTATACCTGACTGTGGGTGTCGAGCCGAGGAACAAATTCACACACCACCGCCTCGTGCCGTTGGACCATTCGAGTGGATGGCCAGGCATGCAAGAGCGGCAACATCGCGGGAGTACCCTGGCACTGCGTTAAAGTGTTCCATGGAGGATACCCTTCGGTGTCATCAAATATTGCCGAATCTATTGGCTTTTAGAATTTGATGTTCTAAGACCATGGCATTCCTGGACGGCTTCGCGCACGTCAGGACGTGTACATCCATCCCTATGAGAACCCACTTCGCCCCCGAAGCTTCGCGGGCTATTGCGATGATGTCTCCGTGGGAGAGCACACGGTGCCGGGAGGGTTGGGTAAGGGAACCAGGTACTGGGCCCAGGTTGTAACATGTGCCGTTTACAAGATCTTGTGCCAGATGGTGGTGTGCCTTGCAGAAAGGCCCACATGGGCATCACCTAGGACATCCTAGGATTTTAACTTATTGATGCATTTGTTTGGCAATTCGCATAGGCACACATTTGTTTGTTCACCTGGCATATTTCTGTGGCATGGGCAGCGACTTACTGATGTATTTGTTGGCACTTCGCATAGGCACACGATGCTTACCTGTCATATCTTTGTGGATTTACCCACTATACTCCCAAGGATGAAAGTCGTGGCAATTGTATACTTTTCCTGGATTTAGGTCGGCAGGCAAATTTTACACTCTGGTAAACTAACGTGATGCAAATTTCCCGCGTATAACGATAGGTTTTTCCACGTTAGGTATGTGTAAAATGGCAATATCCCGATGATAGCCACGTTAGTTGCGTCCTCCTTTTGATAAATCTATGTTATACGTGCGGTGGAGAACAGGATGATAGCCACGTTAGTGGGATTCCTTCCATGTTGGATACGCCACTGGCTAACCTAGCTATGGGGAACATGCAGCCCGTACCCCGTTTTTTCAGGGACCCTAGCTATGTCATATTTAAGCTTACTTGTTTGATTAAAACCTTAAGGCATTGGCACCAATGTGTGCCATGCAGGCTGCAAGGGCCACGTTAGCTACCTAAGATTCAAGAGAGAACAAAAGGGAAAAACAAGTCACTTTATGGGTTGAGCTGAAACAATGTGGAACACTTTACAATAGCTATGTTAGAAAATAGCTAATTTTGCCAATAGCCACGTTAGTTGTTTTTTTAAAGTTGAAAACCTTGAGTGCTGTAAAATGATAGCCACGTTAGTGGGCTTCCTTCCATGTTGAAAACCCTGAGTGCTGTAAAATGATAGCCACGTTAGTGGGCTTCCTTCCTTGTTGGAAACCTTGAATGGTGTAAAATGATAGCCACGTTAGTGGGCTTCCTTCCATGTTGAAAACCCTGAGTGCTGTAAAATGATAGCCACGTTAGTGGGCTTCCTTCCATGTTGGAAACCCTGAGTGCTGTAAAATGATAGCCACGTTAGTGGGTTTCCTTCCATGTTGTAACCTTTGAGCTGTAAAATGATAGCCACGTTAGTTGGTTTTCCTTGGCCAGGGTCTCTGGGGAACATGCTGGTCTGGGAGACCCAAGTGATAGTCAGGTTAGTGCTGTAAAATTCGAAAACGCAGAGTTACGTTAAATTACCGGAGAGTAGAAGTCGTTGCGGTCGTGTTCCTACGTCTATCACAGTTCCTACGTCTCAAACAGTCTGTGCCCGCTCAAATTTGCCTTGTTTGCCACGCTTGTGTCCCTTTGTCTCCCCTCTGTCTCCCTTACTCGCCCTTTGTCTCCTCTTCTGTCTCCTTCTGCTCCACCGCTGAAAGCTCTTGAGTTTTACTGTTCTGAAAAGAATGCGAAAGCGTGTGGCTACCAAAGAGTTTGTCAGAAGACTTAGGAGGTCAGTCTCCCAAAATATGATTTCGGACCTCGTTCGTACCTCGTTCGCACCTCGTTCGGACCTCGTTAAAATTGCAGCCAGTCAAAAGTCAAAACCCAGCCCGGAGAGGTTTTGGAAAGGCTTTGTAGTGGTCTGCTGCTTGGTCTGCTGCTGCTGCTGCTGTTGTTGCTTGTGCTGCTGATTCTGTCTAAGGCGCGGTTTTTGGGCAGAGAACCAAGAGATTTGTGAAGGGGCTGGAAGCTGTGCGGAAGAAACCAAAAGCATAAGAAGATGACCTGAAAAAAGAAAGTCGATCCGATCAGCGGTGTGCCATGGAGAAGTGGATGAAAGGGTTGATTGGCATGAAGTAGAATTTATCATAGAAACCATAGGAATGTAACGTCGATCACATCCAAGTTTGTATGTTGGAAATGCCATGAAACTTGGTGTGCCATGCGGAAGATGATAGTTCTGTTCTGACTGTTCAAACAGGCATATGATTGTCAACTTGTGGTTAACAAGTGTACATTAAACGCATAGCAAATAGATATATTTGAGTTGTTTGCTCTTGAATTAATCCACTTTGACCGTCGGTGTGCCAATGGGATTTCCACCTGGCGGAAGATTGCTGATGTCTGGCGTAAGCGGTATGCCATGCGGCTGGCGCAAGTTCTAGTAAATGGCGTAGGATCACGCCAGAACTCGTACTGGAGGATTGATCCAGGATGCTATTCCCAGTAATCACCAGAAAGGTAAAATCCAACGAAACTAATTATATATGATTTGGACCTTTCATATCTAACTTTGGCTTACTATATAAAAAGTACAGTACACCTGAAGACAGCCTGAAGATATCAATGTTCAGAGATGGTGCTGGTATCAACCGTGATTAAACAATATGAAGCGCAGAGGAATTTACATAATTATTTGCCCATGGTTTTTCCGATTCGAATTACTTTCTTCGAGTGAGATCCCCACCCTGAACCACTATTAAATTCTGACATAGTTTCTGATATACCATCTGGAAGTATATATGGCATATTTATTCTGACACTCTATTTGACAATATCTGACTATCTTTCTGGCATATACTTTGGCATTCTATTTGACATTCTATCTGG